GTACCCAATCATTATATGAATCTTTTTCCTCTTCATTTCCTCATTCCAATTACATCTCTTTCTGCTCTTTAAACTCTCTTATTTACTACAAACCTTGTCTTGACAATTAACATCTGCTTTTGCTTTAATCAATGCATTAGCAACATCAGAGTGTCCTCTTTCACATGAAAGATGAAGAGCAGTCTTGTCAAACTACAAAATCATGTAAAGTAACAAATCTCACTTGAGCGCAAGCAAAATTTAAATGATTTATTACATGCATAAAATTACAAATATACTCACCTTATCCTTAACATTGACAGGGACACCTTTAGAGATAAGAATACTGACATCATTCATCAGACCCTGCTTTGAGGCATAATGTAGTGCTAATATCTGAAACTATATGAAAGTAGTAAAAATAGGAGAGAGAATTAATAGCAATATAATAGCATGTTCAGTGCCTAACCTTCTCGTTATCATAGTCTCTCCATCCAGCTTCTAAAAAAACTAATACTGCATCAGTACTCCTTCTAGCAAGAGCCAGATCCAGTGCAGTCTTGCCATTCTAATCATAGTAAGCACCATCACTACTTGAACTGTTTAATCATACTTTGTTGAGAATTCTTGAATCAACCTTGTCTAATAATGACTTCATGGCTTGTGACATAAGAAAACTCTACAATGAAGAAGAATGGTATTCTACCATTTTTTATGGCAATTTATCAAACCATGAAATGTCGGTCATGTAGTAAGAAAATATGTAAGGCCGTATTTCCATTCTAATTTATACAAGACATGTTATTAGTATTTCATTAATATCTTACTTTATCTACTTGATTAGGATCAACACCAGCTTCTATTAATAAAGATGTCACTGCCCTATTATGTTCAGACACAGCTTCTAAGAGACAAGGTGAACCCTAAAGTTAAACATTATAAAATTAATAACTATAATGATAATAATAATGATAATAATTAGGCAAAGCCCTTAGTAATGAAGTAATTCTGCTATTTTAAAAACTAAATAACCTAATCTTCATGACAGTGTGGCTAAGAGGCTAAACCCCTTAATGTTATAAGGGGTTAACAATAGTGATGGGTGGCATTCGTTTCAAAGTATTTGGTTCCACAGTTCCTCTGCTTGAT